TCCACTCACCTCAGCCTCCCAAGGCGTGGGATTACAGGCTGAGCCACCGAGCCCGGCTAAGAAACAATTTTTACCAGGGATTAAACTTCTGGAATTTTGTCAAAGCCTAACTTACCTGAAGGCAGGGAAATGCCTGATCCAGCCACCTCTCGTCATCCTGTTTCTCCTAAGGGGCAGAGGTTGGGGGTGGACCTGAGAAGCAGGTGAAGGTCACAGCCCCTGGACCTGGGCTCCCCAAAAGGCAGAGACCTAATCACAGGACTGTAGAACTCTTTCTCTCTCCAAACCGTCCCACTGTGTTAAAAGCCTATTTACTGCAGGTCCTTTTAGCTAGTACACTCGTTCATATTTTCACTAGAATGTGGCAAGGAATACTAAAAGACATTAAGCGCAATTTGGAGAGACAGAACAACGTAAAACCAGAATCAGCTATGACAAGAATGTTGGAATTATTAGACCTGATTTTTAAAAAAAAACTATGATCAATATGCTAAGGGCGTGAATGGGATTAATAGACAACTTGCAAGTATAGATCAATAATGTAAACAGAGATGAAAATTCTAAGAAAAAATCACAAAGAGTTGTTGCAGATAAAAACAACTAACAGAAATGGCAAATGTCTTTGATAGGCTCATTAGTAGACTGGACATGTCTGAAGAAAGAATATCTGAGCTTGAGAATATGACAATAGAAACTTCCAAAATAGAAAAGGGAAGAGAAAAAGGACTAAAGAAATCAGAACAAGGAAACAGTATTAGAAAAGGAATAAGTGAAGGTAAAATACAAACTTTTATTTTTGTTATTCTTAATTGATCTAACAGATAATTTACTCAAAGTAATAATAGTAATAATGAATTAGATTGTGCACACTTATGTACATGTGCTTATGTGCAAATAACATGAGTTATAGTAAGGATATAAGGAACAGGAAGGAGGAATTGGGATTATTTTGTTATTATAAAGTTTGTTCACTACTTACAAAGCAGTAAAGTGTTGTCTTTAAGTGGACTTGTAAAGGTATATTGCAACCTCTAGGGAAAACAATTTTTTCAAAGTTAAAAGAAAGGAGAGAAAATAGAATCATACAAAATGCCCAGTTAAAACCACAGCAGGCAGAAGAATAATGGAACACTAGAAGAGGGACCAAGAACAAGGGCAGAAAATAGGAAATAGCAAAAATATTGTAAATATTAATCCAACTATATTAATAATATCTTTAAATATGGGTGATCTAAATATAACAAAGACAAACATGGTCTACATGGAGATCAAAAAACAATATTGCCTACAATGTGTTCAACAAATCAGCATTAAGTATTAAGATACACATAGATAAAAATAAAGGGATAAAGAATAAAATAAGATACACATAGATAAAAATAAAGGGATAAAGAATAAAATAAAGGGATACCATACTAACACTAATCAGAAGAAGGAAGGAGTGAGTAGCTATGTTAATTTCAGGCAGAGTAGACTTTAGAGCAAGCAAAGTTATCAGGGACAAAGAATAATATTTCACAATGATAACGGGGTCAGTACTCCCACAAGACATAAAAATCCCTAACGGGTATGCACCTAACAAGTGTCAAACATATGAGGCAAGGAGAAACTACAAGAATTAACTTCCAGGAGAAATAGATGAGCCCACTATTGTAGTTAGAGAACTTAACATCTTTCTATCATAAATGGACAAATCCAGCAGGCAGAAAATCAGTAAGACATAGATGAGCAGCACTGGATATCACTGGATAGAAGTGATATCTAGCTGGGCGCTGTGGCTCAAGTCTGTCATCCCAGCACATTGGGAGGCAGAGGTGAGGGGGTTGCCTGAACCCACGGGTTTGAGAACAGCCTGGGCAACTTGGTGAGACCTCATCTCTACAATAAATTAAAAAATTAGCCGGGTGTGGCAGCATGCACCTGTAGTTCTGGCTACTTGGAAGGCTGAGGAAGAAGGATCACCTGAGCCCAGCAGGTCGACACTGGGGTGGCCACGAGCATGCGACTCTACTCCAGCCTCCAAAAAAAAAAAAAAAAAAAGGGAGGGGGATATCTGTAGACCTTCATCTAACACATTCTTCTCAATCTCACTTAGAATATTCAACAAGATAGACTGTTTATGGAAAACAAAACACACCTCAACACATCTAAAAGAATAAGAATCTTACAATGTCTGCTCTCAGACAACAATGGAATTATACTAGATCAAAAATAGAAAGAAACTGGAAAAATCCTTAAATATTTGGAGATTGAACAACACATTTCTAAGCAACACATGGGTCATGAGGAAATATCAAGAGAAATTAAAAATATATTTTGAACTTAATTTAAATGAAAATACAATTTATTAAAATTTGTGGTATGCAACAAAAGTAGTACTTAGAAGGAAATGTATAGCACTGAATACATGTATTAGAAAGAAGAGAGATAAAACAATAATATAAGCTTCCACATCAAGAAACTAAAAAAAAAGAGCAAATTAAATCTAAAGGAGAAAATAATAAAAATAAGTGCAGGAATTAATGTAACTGAAGTCAGGAAATCAAGATTATCAAGATAGCAATCCTTCCCAACTTGATCTTTAGTTTCAACACAATCTCAAATAATCTCAGCAAGTTATTGTATGGATATCAGTACACTGACTCCAAAGTTTATATGGAGAGGAGCATGACACACAACAGCCAATTCGGTGTTGAAGGAGAAGAACAAAGTTGAGGGAACAACACTGTCAAGCTTCAAGATTTAACTATGAAGCCATAGTAATCAAAACTGTAATATTGGTGAATGAATAGATATGTAAATCAGTGGAGCAGAGTAGACGCGTATAAATGGAATCGACTGCTCTTTGACGAAGGAGCAAAGGTGGTGTAAAGGAGCAGAAAATGGTGCTGGAACAACTGGACATCCATTTGCAAAAATTAAATAAATTTAGGCATAGGCCTTATAGCTGTCCCATAAAATAGCTCAAAATGGACCATCTAGCTAAATGTAAAAGGAAATAATCACGAAACTCCTAAAAGATGACATAGGAGAAAATCTAGATGACCTTGCATATGGCAATGACTTTGTAAAAACAACACCAGGACTGCAATCTATGAAGAAAATAATTGGCAAGCGAGACTTCATTAAAATTAAAGACTTTTGCTCTTGAAAGTCACTGGTAAGAGAATGGAAAGATAAACCACAGACTGGGAAATAATATTTGAAGAGACACCTTTA